CCCCCCCGTGGATGCTGCTGCAAATCAGCCTTCCCAGATCTGTGTGTCCTCCAGATGGGTGAACTTCAACTCCCAGGATTCTCAGCAATAGACACGCTGGTTGAGAAATCCTGGAACTGAAAAGTACTTATTCCTTTGCTCCTTAACCAGCACAGCAATGTAACATTTGCAAAATGGTTTATGAATTAGATACCATATTCCATATTCACAATTTATAAAATACAATAAAAGTAATGAACAGCTATGTTTTAAACTATGGAGTTTCTTTGTATGCTTTGCATTTATAACTTCAATCAATGCATTAGTGTTAGTTTGGTTAGCATGCTTGATTTCAATATTTCGGTGTTTATATCATTATTAAAATAGCTTCTTTTACATTTGTTGTAGTCCCAGTAGGATTTATTACCGTGTTGAACAGCAGGGTACAGTGACCACTGAAGGAGTCTAAACTCTAGCAGAAAAGGTCTAAGGTGATAATAAGGAATAATAATAATAATAATAATAACAACAACAACAACAACAACAGCAGCAGCAGCAGCAGCCATATGGCAAAAACAAAAAAAGGAAACAATAAGAACTTTAGAAGAACTTTAAATTTATTTATTTATTTATTTATTTATTTATTTATTTATTTATTTATTTATTTATTTATTTATTTATTTATTTATTTATTTATTTATTTATTTATTTATTTATTTATTTATTTATTTATTTATTTATTTATTTATTTATTTATTTATTTATTTATTTATTTATTTATTTATTTATTTATTTATTTATTTATTTATTTATTTATTTATTTATTTATTTATTTATTTATTTATTTATTTATTTATTTATTTATTTATTTATTTATTTGTCAAATTTGTCACCGCCCATCTCGTTGAACAACTCTGAAATACAGTTAAAACAACAGCAACAACAACAAAAACATCCAGGAAGTGATTGCGGCATTTAAATGAGAAAGGAGTGAAAGGGTTGCTGAGGAAGGCTATAGGGACAGCAAAGAAAAAAAAATAAATTCTTTGCATCTCCCTTTTACTACAAAAACTATAAGGTACCTAAGCCTGCATTAGGTAAAAGCCTTTCTCAGGGGAGAAGTCAGAACAACTAAAGGTAATAAGAGAAGATATTTTAGAACACTGATTCCCAATCAAAGCAACTTCCAGATGTGTGTACTCCAACTCCCAGAGATCTTGGCATCAGCCATGCTAGCTGGGAATTCCGGGAGTTCACATCCACACATTTGGAAGTTGCCAAGTTTGGGAAATATTATTCTAGGACATCTTGAGAGTCTGTGCAACAAATTAGAGAGTCCTGCTGATATCCATTTAAGAGTGTTTAAAAAACTGAAATGTCAAATTGCTGTTCCCCTAGAAAGAAGCTTGTCGCTCAAATAAGGCTCAGTGCTAGAAAATTGGAAAATAACCAGTATGATCCCAATTTTTAAAAAGAAACTATAGTGTGGTCAAGTTAATGTATATTATGGAGAAATTGAAGGAAATGATAATCAGATGAAAACTAGGCATAATAGAGAACAAACCTCGCTGAAGGAAAATCTGCATCGATTCTGTGAAAGAAAGATAAAATTAAACTAATATGGATTTTTCATTGAAAACTAGTGACGGCTGAACTTCCTTTAATTGTCCCTTGAAGAGGTCTAAGTATCTGTGAATATCCAAGTTGCCCAACAATTTTCATTACTAGCTTTTGAAATCTACATCAAATCTGAATGAAATCAAGTAGTGGAATGAATCAGCTGTGGGTCTTCAAAGCTGATAGGTTGTATGAAAAAAATCTTGACATCTGTTCAGTGCTGTGCGTGTGCCTGCTAAATTGTTCTTTGGAACTCTGTGCACAGTCTTCAGTGCAGACCTCAACCTCTTGGAATGAGACTAATAACAGATTGCAGTACAGTACCAATTTATTATGAGGGGCAGAAACCGAGGTCTGGTCCACATATGAATTGATTCAACTAAAGCAGTCTGTATGGCTGCAATCCTATTCCTGATGGTTTTTCAATGTTATTGTAGAAAGAGATTTTATGTGGAATGTTTTATTTATTCTTTATTTATTTATTTATTTGGTGATTGGATTTATTTCCCACTGCAACCCCAAGACTCATGGTGGTTTACAGTAAAAAAAAAAATAATAATAAAGATAAAATGTACATGGTAAAAATTAATGTTACATCATTGTAAATCATAAAAGCATAATTCTAATCCTCCATCCTAGGAGTCATGCATCATGGCCATCTGGAACAACTCTGTTTTCAATAGTTTCCAGAAGGCTAAATACATAAATAGGGACCGACCAAGCAAGAGTCCATTCCAGAATATAGGCGCTGCTACAGAAAAATAGCACCTACAAGCCTCCATAGTAGGTTTCTTGTGGAATCTACTAGCAGGGTCTCCTGGTAGAAATGAGTTGGGCAAGTTGATTCCAAGGATGTCCTGAAGATATTTGGTTCCAAATCATATTGTCAGACTTAAGAGACAAAATTAAACCAAGAATAAAGTCACAGCAGCTGAATGCTAACACAGAGTACATACAATATCTGTAGCTCAAATATACGGTCAATAAATTTTCATTGTTGTTATGGATGCATGTAATTGTATTACTCAGAATTACCTTTTTCCTCTTCTTTTCTACAGCCTTAAGAAGTCAGAACATAATTAAGAAGAAGTGTTTATGTATCCTTTCTGTTTCTGGACACCTTTTAACGCATCACTGGTCCCTTACATAAATGCTAAAGGCTTTTAAACTCTGAAGACTGGAAGACGTAAATTTTGCTTTGAATATTCGTGGTCAAAAGTAGATGTACCAGATCTTTTGGATGAGCAAAAGGATAAAAAGGTTAGTGATTCTTTGGAAAGCCTACAGTTTCAACATTTTGTATTTCTGCATATCACTTGCCAGTACTTTCATGTACACTATAATATTTTCTGAGCTGTAGGAAGGAAAACCCAGCAGTATTTGCTTTCCTTATTCTGGAATATTGTGGAGGTATGTTTCCTGCTGGAAACATATCCAGTAATTTATTTTTATTTGATCTGCTTTTTTCAAATCCTGAAACTGATTGAGCATGTGTTATAGGGGATGCTGCTCCACTTAGGGAAAAAAATAGCTAATGCTCATATTGAATGTGAGTGTTTGATAATAGATTACGAATTGAAGTATATTGGTTGGAAATTAAATTGCTGAAAGACAAAATGGATGCAATATGAAAGGTCAGTGATTGGATCCCACAGTTGTTTTTTTGACTATGCATGTGGAATAATATACAGGAAGTTCACAGTTTAAGAATGAGTTCCATTCCCAAAGTCTGTCCTTAAGTCGAATTTGTATGTAAACCAGAACAGTATTATTGTATAATACTGCATAAATAGTATTGTGCAACTAACTTGAACCATTGTGTAATTAAATCAAATCATTGTGCATTTAACTCACATTTTGCTACAGTAGTCTCTGTTCTTAACTATGGGTCATCCATAACCCAGGCATTCTTAACCTGGGGACTACCTGTTTGGGATTGGGCATTAAGTAGAAGGGGTTTAACCTTTTTCCTATTCCATCTTACCTCCCTGATAAATATTTCACCCTATAAAATTGTTCTTAGTCATACAAAGGAAAGAAATTGATTGATGATTACAGTACATGGTAGATTGCTATGGTTATTTCCACTTCTGGAGGAAGAAGCTCCATTTCAGAAACATACTTTAACTTCTCACCCATCCATCCTTTGCTACTCTCTTGACATAATGCCCAGGTAAAAGAGATTCAACCCAGTCTTTGGTTTTTTGCATCATAAATAATTTTACCCTGAGAGATTAATTACTTGTTATTTACATTTATGTACTATCAAAATGTGTTGCATTCTATTCTATTCTATTCTATTCTATTCTATTCTATTCTATTCTATTCTATTCTATTCTATTCTATTCTATTCTATTCTATTCTATTCTATTCTATTCTATTCTATTCTATTCTATTCTATTCTATTCTATTCTATTCTATTCTATTCTATTCTATTCTATTCTATTCTATTCTATTCTATTCTATTCTATTCTATTCTATTCTATTCTATTCTATTCTATTCTATTCTATTCTATTCTATTCTATTCTATTCTATTCTATTCTATTCTATTCTATTCTATTCTATTCTATTCTATTCTATTCCACCCTACCCTACCCTACCCTACCCTACTCATATTTCTGTGCTGCTGTGTTCCTGCAGACTCTGAGCAGCATACAATAATCAGAAAAGAGATTTAAAACACCATAAGGTTCCAGCCATATAAACTAGTAGGGAAAAAAGCAGTATCAAGGCCATTCATCAGGATGGATTAGAATCTGATTTAATGAGAAGAATACTTGATCTCAGAGAGAGGAAAAGGCATTGAAGCAGCCTGCTGTCCTTGCAGTACATTTATCTTATGTTGTTTTACAGGCTCCTCCTTCCTTCCTTCCTTCCTTCCTTCCTTCCTTCCTTCCTTCCTTCCTTCCTTCCTTCCTTCCTTCCTTCCT